AAAAAAAAAAAAAAAAAAAGCATGTCCTCATAAGGAATGCGCTCAAAGTACACTTCCTCCTCTAAAGACATTTTAATGCGATGTTTGGAGCAAAAATATCTATACATCTTTTATTAACACATGGCAAGTAGTGTTTAAAATACCATTTTTATGTAACACAAATATCTCATGTTTATGCTGATCCAAAAGCCAGAATGGGTAACAGAGAGTTTTAGCACATACACTGTGTATTTTGATTCTATACATTTACATATAAATCACTTGGGAAATTTTTAAATATGAAATAATTTCATATTTTATGCCACTTTTGTGTCATTTTCTGATTGGAATGGCAATACTGAATCTTACTAAGTATTATATTTCAATCAAATAAATTATACAAATAGAAAAATCCTGATTTTCACTCGTTTCATATTTAGGTATATTGCGTCTTGAGAGAATATTCACAAAGGGAAAGAAACAGACAGCTGGATAACTATATATACAGATTATAGAAGCCATTCTCCTGAGAGAAGATTGTTTTTAATTATTATTATTTAAAAATTAATCAATATCTCCTTTTCTTTTTTCCCCTCCTCTATCTTCTCTTCTTTTCCTTCTTTAGAAAAATCAGTACAGTTATTTATTACCTCTCATATTCCCTTGAGCTATTATGCCTTTGCATTGACAGGCCCTATAATGTGGCAAGCTTGGACTGAAATTAAGAGGCCTGGGTTCTAGTCTGGTGTTTTGATTAGTTTTGGGTAAACCTTCCCAATTCAGTTTCCTCATTTATATAATTTGGTGGAAAAAATAATATAATTTAGCACATGTCATCCTTATATATGATATATACCAAGCTTGTAAATTTTTTGTTTCTTCTGGTTATGAGATCCATTTATCCTAAACATATAGATTCTGGAGCTACTGATGATATAAAAAATAAAATAAAACAAAGAAACAGCAACAAAAACTAGGTAAGTTCTTTGGCTGAAAAGATGTTACCTCTGATTTTCTCTATAACTTGGAACTCCATGTGCCTTTCTTTTAAAATGTTTTCCCATAACAACTGCCTGGTTAGCTTAGGTAAGACTTCTATAGTCACCTGAGTTTATTAGTGACTATACATGTATGACACCAGCCACTATTTTTCCAAACTAGGGTATTATTTTAAAAGAAAGAAAGTTGCTTACAGCTTCACCTGGAAGACCCCTTGGTCCGATTTCTCCATCTTCTCCCTGTCATTGACACAATGAATGGGAGGTAATGCAATTAGACAATATATCAATTCAACAAGACTTTGTTCTCTTATGTTTTCATTTTAAATATTTCTTAAAAGAAATGAAGTTTCATATACCCTCATTCCATCTTCTCCAGGGGGACCAGGAGGACCTTGCGGACCCCGTTCACCCTATTAAACAAATACAAATACGATTAGAAAATGAAATAAAGCAGAATACTCAGAAGTCTACCCTATAGCTATCCTGCTGAATATAACAGACCATTTGGTGGAAAAACTTATGCTTTCTTTGTCCTTCTCAGGACACTGCAAAGATAAATCATATTTTTACATTAACTGACTTTATATATTACTATGCTAGAAAAAAAGTTCACTTAAATTCTAAAAGCAAAAAGGTTTAAATAAAATACCTAACATAATTATTACAAACTAAATCATTTAGAAAGTTATTTTGCTGATGATTGTTTTAAACAGAGATACACTTGGTTGACTTTATTTTTTTCTGCTTCTAAAATAAGTCATAACAATCAGCACAACTCAAGACTAAAGAAATTTTGGATTTTTTAAAAAAGAACATTGTGGGGCGCCTGGGTGGCGCAGTCGGTTAAGCGTCCGACTTCAGCCAGGTCACGATCTCGCGGTCCGTGAGTTCGAGCCCCGCGTCGGGCTCTGGGCTGATGGCTCAGAGCCTGGAGCCTGTTTCCGATTCTGTGTCTCCCTCTCTCTCTGCCCCTCCCCCGTTCATGCTCTGTCTCTCTCTGTCCCAAAAATAAATAAACGTTGAAAAAAAAAAAAAATTAAAAAAAAAAAAAAAAAAAACATTGTATATTTCTCTTGACATATAGTAGGTATACACTAAATATCTTACTAGGCTTCCATAATGTTCTCTTTTCTGTTTCTTTCTTTTCTTTTTATGTTCTTTAATTTACATAAAGTTTGTCTTATCTTCATTCTTAACTTCTGAAGAAGAAAAATGTGAAGGTCCAAAGCTGTTCTTTGAGAGACTGCCTCTTAGTTTAATTTCCCACTAAAAATATCCCCTAGATTCCTGTTCAGCATGGTGGTTTATTTAGCTTTTGCAAATTATAAGCTCTTGTGTTGGATTGCAAGCTCATATTATCACAAGAAATAGCTTGAGGTGTCTCTGTCAATGGGTACCATTTAACTTAGGATAATAAAATACAGTGTCCAGTATATTAATGACAGACTGCCTAAAGAGGACTCTATTGAGTATATGTCCACACATAAAATATAAGAGGGAAATTAAGGTGATTATCAAAAAATAAGAGGCAAAATTAAATCTCCACTCTTGTCTTTCTATAAATATATCTTCCACATACATGTACATAAAGATTATGCCAGAACTTATATTTGCATGATTAATGTCTAAAAATAATTAAAGAACTCATATTGGTATTACATGTGTAATTCTACATTGTAATTCTACTTATCTTTCTTCCAGTATATAGTAGATGCAGTAATTTACTAAATTATTGTCTTTACAAATATTTAAACTATTATTTTTTATTTCTTAAAGTCCAATGATTCTAAAATAGTTCATAACATTCCTATATTGTCCCTGTATGCAAAGTAACAGAATAGTATATCTTACCCTGTGACCTTTGTCACCTGGCAGACCCGGAAGTCCATCAAATCCTCGATCACCCTGTAAAATAATCATCATCATCATCATATGATCATATTCCCATCATCATATTCCCAATCCAATTCTATACTGTAATTTAATTGTGAAATATTCATTGATATCAAGAAACTCTGTTTTAAAATATAAAATTTTCAGAGGTGAACTGACATACAAGATCTGAATATACAAATGTGTGAGCTCCTGACCTTCGCCCCAGGTTCTCCAGGCATGCCTCTTCCTCCATCAGCACCCGGACGACCCTGATAATGCCAAGAATATGACTAAGCAAAAAGGATTCCTACTGGCACAAAGAAACAACAACAACAACAACAACAAACAAGATAACTGATGATTTCAGATGCCCTCAAAATACACAATAAAAACCAGTCATACCCTTTTTCCAGGTTTTCCCGTTGGACCAGGTGGACCTTGAACACCACGAGGGCCCTATATCAAAACATCATAACTTATTCATTTTATGGAATTTTTGATCAATAAACTGAATCACATTGAGAGAGATGGTTTTAGAAATGTATGTTCTCTTAGCTTTACCTTAATCACTTTAAAATAAAGAAAATTATTTCTTATGTAAAAGCTCAGATAAAGCAGAAGACAAAAGAATAATTTTTCTAAAAGGTTCTTGCCACAAAAAAGAGTCATGTTATTTTGTAAAGTTTCTAGAGACAGCTGATTACATTTAAATAAAAGTAATAAAAAGTGATATTTTAACATTTAAAAAATTCCTCAACTACTCATTTTATTCTAAAAAACTTGAGTTTTTTTACATTTCCCTTGAAAACACTCTTAACTACCCATCTATTTTTCTCTTTTCTTTCCAATCACTTTTCCTTCATCTTTCCCTTTATTTTTTGGAGATCCTCTCCTACGTATTTATTCTTTTATTTGACTTATCACATGGATTATAATTGCCATTTTTCATAATTGAATCTCCCATTAAATTGTTAACTGCTGTGGTGGTTTTAGATTACATCTGTCTTTTCTCCATTATACTCCTACAACTTAGCATAGTGACTGATACATGTTTCTCTCAATCACCTACAAAATGCTGCAGGATGATTTGGTGATCCCTAATGCAAATTATTGTCTGGAACCATGTCATTTCAGATCAAAGGTTAAATATTCTCAGTATGTTTCTTTCTTGGAGCAGTAGAATACAATGTTATGTCAACAAACAATGTCTTTTGTGGGGATTGATCTACATGTTTTTTAAAATAAAATTACACATTTAATAATAGATCAAATGTAGTTCTAGAGTAAACATTATATAGGCCTTTATATCCTTTTTAAAATTAATTTAAACAATATTCATATGATGAGTGTGGTAGCAAATGTAACACACATTTGAAATTACAAATGTTTTTTATCATCCTTGTAAAATGTTGGTTATAGAAATATGAAATCAAGGTTATCTGATAATTGGAGTTTAAAAGAATATACCTTTCTAAGAAAATTATTGTTGTGAAATGACTCTACCCTATATCTCAGCTGGAAAGCAAAGGGCAATACTAACAGGACAAATCTTAGTTTTTAATGAAAATGATCCTTCTTCACTTGATATTGTATCTCTCTGGATTTGAGTCAAGGAAAGCCACAAAAGCCACAAAAACTACTGCAAAATGTTTTCAGATTCAACTATTTTATAAAGGGGTAAATTTGATGAAAAATTTACAAATTTTGCAAAAGATTAAGCTCCCTAGATTTTCATATAGTGACACTTCAGTATTTTTATGCAATTCTCAGTTAAGTTCCAATGCTTTCTATACCCCTCTGGCAATATTAACCAAGCATGAAATAGAAGGCTGCCATGTTCTGAATCACCCAAATATCTTTCTCAATTTTCTTTGATTTTTTTCTAATTCCAAAACAAATTGTGGTGTAACCATATAAAGGAATACTACTCAGCAACAAAAAAGAATGAACTATTGATGCACTTAACAACTGTGATGAATCTCAAAGGCACCATGTAAATGAAAGAAGCCAGTCTTCAAAGGTTACATAATGCATGATTTCATTTGTACAGTATTCTTGAAAAGATAAAAGTGTAGTAATAAAGAAAAGATCAGTGACTGTCAGGTATTAAGGGTGGAGGAGGGAGATGTGATCATTAAGTGTTGGCTCCAAGAAATTATTTAGGTTATTGAGCCGTTCTCTCTCCTGATGATTATGGTAGTGGTTACAATGAATATACAATGGTGTTGAAATTCATTTTCACCTTGTAATATTTTAAAAATAAAATTAATTTTATTAAAAAAGATTTTTTTACATTTATTTATTTTTGAGAGACAGAGACAGAGTGCGAGCTGGGGAGGGGCAAAGAGATGGAGACACAGAATCCAAAGCAGACTGCAGGCTCTGAGCTGTCAGCACAGAGCCCGACATGGGGCTTGGAACAGTGAGATCATGACCTGAGCTGACATCAGACATTCAACCAACTGAGCCACCCAGGTGTCCCCCAAAATAAAAGTAATTTTAAGGGAAAGAAAAATAATTAGTGGACGGCCACTTGAGAGTTCCTTCAGCGCAATCTGAATTTCTGTTTATTGAGTATATCAAGAAGTATTTTCATTTAGGGCGCCTAGGTGACTCAATCAGTTAAGTGTCCTACTTCAGCTCAGGTCATGATCTCATGGTTCATGAGTTCAAGCTCAGCGTTGGGCTCTGTGCTAACAGCTCAGAGCCTGAAGCCTGCTTCATATTCTGTCTCCCTCTCCCTCTGCCCCTCCCCTGCTCATGCTGTGTCTCTCTCTGTCTCTCCAAAATAAATAAACAAATGTAAAAAAAAAAAAAGTTGAAGTATTTTCATTTAAAAATAAATGTATTTGGAAGGCACCTGGGTGGCTCAGTCAGTTAAGCTTCTGACTTCGACTCAGGTCATGATCTCACAGCTTCTGATTTCAAGCCTCCTGCTGGGCTCTGTGCTGACAGCTCAGAGCCTGGAGTCTGCTTTGGATTCTGTGTCTCCCACTCTCTCTGCCCCTCCCCCGCTCGCATTCTCTCTCTCTCCTCCAAAAACAAATAAACATTTAAAAAATAAAGATAAAAATAAATGTATTTTTAAAACGTCACATTTTGTTTTTCTGTTTTCTAGAATGAGTATACTTCCTAATGTGCTTATATTGAATGTTTCTACTTATTATCATTAAAGGAAAGATAATACTTTTAACTTGGTATCATGTAATATAACCTAAGATCTGTTTTTGAAATTTCACTTCAGATGTTTTCAATTCTCATAATTTCCTCAGTTCTACAAAAGGTTTGAAGTTAGCTTCTTTTAAGTATGTTAAATATTGTTTCTGAAACTATATGCTAGGTTCACTTTCCACAGAAAATATCGTGGGTTTGAGACAGGGCCTCTAAGCAGTACAACTGCAGTAGTTCTCTGCTCTGTACAATCTCAAGCCAGTTTAAGATTCTGAAAGCCTATTACTATCAAGCCTTTCCCATCCCAGCTTATTATCTTCTTTTAATATTGTTTAAATTAATCAAGTTATTGGCAGTCAACTGGCCACTAGGGATTTTTCAATTAAAGGAGGTGATGTGAACTTAAAAGTAATGTAAGTAATTTCTTTACTCATAAAACAGATGGCAGATACTTCAATTATCGTACTGGATAAAACGAAGTCAAAAATAAGATAAGTGAAATACATTAGTTTTTTTACCTGAGGACCTGGATCACCACTCTCACCTTTGGCACCAGATGAACCAGGCCCCCCCTGCAGAGAAAAAGTAAGGATATAATAATTTAATTGAGCAATAATTCCCTAACCAATTTCACCCTACCATTTTCACATGAAATGGCTAAACACTGTTCAACATATATTTCATCAAATTAGTATAATTTTATTAATTAATACAATAAAATTTTAAGTCCTGTTTCATTGAAATACATCTTTTCTCAGATTTTGAGTGTATTCAGTGTGAAAGCTGTATTTTAAAGTCTCCATTTTACACATAATTACACAGAAGCCAATTTCATGAGAAATCACATTGAAATTTTCTTTAATGTGTGCACCATCACAGTACTTATGATAATACACAAGGCATTATTTATTATTAAGCTGTGATGCAGTACAGAGGCAACACATTTTTACTGAATCAGGTATATGCTGAATCCATTTATACAGCCGGGACTTGGTGAAATGTTATTGCTTTTATACTCAGAAATTTCTCAGACACTGAATTCTATAGCAATAAAATGTCAAGACCAGATGCTACCACCATCATTATAATTGTCCTGAAATAATGTCAAAGCATTTTTTCCCAAAATGGTTTATTTCCCAGAAGAATAAGTCCTTATGACAAAAACTTCTTACAAATGTATACATAACTGAAAAAGTGCAACAAAAACCTAGCACATTAACTGGAAAAAATATAAAATCAATTTATAAAAGTGTTGTGGGTTTTAAAAATAAATACCAGACTGTCCATTCCCCTAAAAAGCTTTAGGACATTAAAATTAAACGTGGTGATAATAGTTACTTTGTACTGAAGAAGTATATTTTAGGTGTTTAAGAAGTTTCTGATTTATTTAAATCAATACATATTCAAATAATAGTGCATTGAATCATCATACAAAAAGATCAAAATTGTGCTAAGTCTGAAAATGTTAGCTATCTAGAGCCTCCTGGTGGCTCCAAAGTAAAATAACTATTAATCTGACTCCTAAAAAATACAAAAAAGTCAAATAACAGGAATATTCTAATCTTAAAAATTATAGAATAATAGCCTTCAAGCTCCTAATTAAGAATTCTTGCAACTAAGTTTTTTCAAGAGAAAACCTGGGATTCTACATTAAATCAGATTATGAATCAATGAGTTGAACACAATTGTAGGATAGTCAATTTGTTTTTAATTAATTTATTGCATTATATTCTCTCTATATAAGGACTACCTACTCAACAAATTATAATTACTTTGTCTAAACACTCTAAAAATTATCATGCAATAATTGACAGTAACAGAATTCGAAAATAACCACAATATTTTCTATGTTTCTTGCATATTTATAAGCCTCCATTTGTCTAGAAAAGCAATTGAAAAAAACAATTGAATTAAGAATTTTTCATTGGAAGAATGCATATGTTTGTATCTTAATACAGTGATGTAGACTCTGTTTCTTTTTTTTAAATTTTTTTAAATGTTTTATTTTATTTTTGAGAGACAGAGAGAGACAGGATGAGTGGGGGAGGAGCAGAGAGAGAGAGAGACACAGAATCTGAAGCAGGCTCCAGGGTCTGAGCTGTCAGCACAGATCTAGCCCAACGTGGGGCTTGAACTCGCAAGTGGTGAGATCATGACCTGAGCCGAAGTCAGATGACTAGCTGACTGAGCCACCCAGGCGCCCCGACTCTGTTTCTTTTATATAAAATACTTTAAGACTCTAGAATTTGACAGTCTCTAGTAATTTGATGCTTTGGAGCAAAGGATAATAGAGGAGAAAACTGAAAAGAAACAATATGATGTTTTTTCTCTCAATACCTACCTTTAATATTTAAGGAAGCTAACACTTTCCATAACAAAGGCTTAGGTAGTAAAATTAATTAGTCTTGTATCCGATGTTTGACACTAAGAATGTGTACATGGTTGCCAATGTTTCCTTTCTGCCAACAAACTGGGAACGGCTGACCCTCAAACGGGTGGTGAAAACAGGAACTGTTAATGAAAATGCTTTCACTGCTTCTGCTCATCACTGCCCTGACCCTCTGCAGATCTGCTGAGCTTATGCTTGTCAGGATGATACATAGGAAAATTCCTTTGGAAAATGCAGTTTTAGAGATCCTTTACTGATATTTTTAAATTATGTAACATATGGCAGTATTTCCCAAACATGCTTGACTGTAAGAATCAGCCTGGTGCACTCATTAAAAATATAGTTTGCCACTTTGAACCCTGAACCTTTATCATCAGAATCTCAAGTTAAGGGCCCAGGAGCTTTTTTTTTAATAAAATATATAGATAATTCTTCTACCGCAGATTTATAAAACATTTGCATACTGCTGACTTTCCTCAGTCGTAAATTTGAGTTATCACTAACAAACAATGAAGTATTAACTTCATTTCTTCCTTTGTTAAGTAACATAGAATCTTCCATGTTTATTACTTTGGCAGAACATATGTTCTACATGAGCCCATATGATTGAGTGTATGCCCCTTCAAAATATATAAGATGTACGAATTTTAAGACTGAATTAAGATTACCATAGTTTATGTAAACTACATTAACAAACCTTTGAATAAAATACATGAAGAAAACTATTTATCACCCTAATAAGATAAGTAAAACAAACTAAATAATTAGAAGACTATTCACTTGATGTAAACTTGAGTAAAATTATTTTGCTGTGTCTACTAAGTAAATCACATGTTAAGATTTTAATGTTCATAGTAATAATTTCTATAAATACCGTTATTTCAATAAAACATACTGAAAGCATATAAAATCATATGAAAGAACAGGAGGAATAGCTCTTTATATAGAAAAATAAATATTTAAGAGAGAAATTATTTATTTAATTAATTGTAAGATCAATCAGAAGCAAGGTTTGACTCATGCAGTCTTCTTTTCCCTTAAAGAAAAATATGACTTGAAAAGAATCTTTGTGTTTTTTGTGAATTGCTACACTGCTCAACATTTGGTAAAAGTTTCAAAATATTTGAAGATTTTTTATATTAAAAACCACTTGGAAAATATTAGCTTGTTAGCAAGCTTGTATGGAAAAATAAAACACTGTCATTTTCCAAGAGTCTCCAGAAGACAAATTAATTTCTCTAATATCTGAAGTACTTTGTGGAATATGGAAGGCAAACTGAAGTTTAAGCCAAGTATCCTGCTTGTTTCCCAAATTATGGAATAATTTAACTGACTTCAAATACTTTTTTTCTTTTTTAACGAAAATTCTATTTAACATAAAATTAAGTCTCAATAATTTAATGTAAAACTGAATTTTAATAACTTGGAATGTTATGCAAATAAATTATAATTATACTTCAAAAATTAATAGACATGTAACTGAATTGTTTTTTTCACTGTATTTATTTGATTTGAAAATTCTTCAATGAAAATTTTTTTATCAAAACTTACTGAGGACTAAGTTGAAATAGACTTTAAATAGAGGAACAAAATCAAGCATAGGTAGATACGCATATCCTATTTTTATCAGCTAGAAATATGAACAATGCTTGGCCAAAGTTGCACAAGGAAATACTACTATGTAAATTTAAACACACATTATCATATTGAGTAACCTACCACAGGACCCGGTCTTCCAGTTAGACCCATTGGGCCAGGTGGACCTCTCAGAGCAATCTAGAAAATAAAGTATATCAAACTCAGGGGTGCCCTTTTTGGACAAGAATAGTAAACCACAATATTCATTTGCACAAGCTACCTGTAAGTAACAGATAATAAACAAAGGTATATTAGCTACATGCTAGAAACAGTGCCTGATAACTGAAGAATTACAAGCTTCTAGAATGACAAATGATCTATCAGATTTGCTCTCAACTGTTATAGCTTGTATACAATCTTGTACCATATACTATTATGATTTATTCAATGATAAAAGTTAAAATAGATTTCAGTACAAGAAACCTAACATCCTGTAATTTTTCTACTCTGAAGCATACTTCACAATAACATATAGACTTCTCTTAAACATGTTGGCACAATTATCATCGAAAATCCTTTTAGAGATGAACAATTTGAGGTGCTTGAAATAAAAATTTTCTAGCAATATTTAGGAAAATCTATTGACAATTAAAGCCAGATAGCAAGCAAAATTGATCAGAAAATATGCTCATACACTTCTTTTTAACAAATCTCAAATTTAACATTACAAGAAAAACACATTCATTTTGTATAATCATAGGCATGATAGATTGATCACATGCACTATTGATACTGAATATTAGAAATGTGAAATTAGCATATTTGAAAAGCTGGAACAAGTGGAGTACAAAGGATAAATATTTAATAGATGTTAAATTAGTATGGTGAGCTATTTTTGAATATTAGTGATTCCAAAAGATGAATATTTAGATTATCAAAACAGATATCAAAAATAACACTGTAATAGAAACAATATGTAAAATCATATTAGAAAAGTGCACAAGATAAAAACATAGGATCTCCAAGGTTCCACTACTGACTCACCATGAGATTTTTGACAATATACTTCTTAATCCTTGAGATTAAGTATCTGAAAAATTGGAATTATAATGCTTGCTACCTATTTACAAGTAGGATAAAAGGACTAATAAAAGGAGGAATTTAATGGCCTCATAAAACATTTAAGCTCAAATAATTACCTTAAGTTTGTTGAAAGTAATATAAATTATAAGATGAATTGTAGGAATCATTAGCAAATTATTTTAAATATTTTTAGGGATGTGTTACGCCAAGGTCAAAAAACACTTAAAGTTTTCTGTCTTTATACAGGATATAATCAAATAATGGAATCTTTGCAGATTAATAGATTTAGTAAATATATAAATAAATATGAGAGTGAATTGCAACCTTCACTTATGTTTTCAGATATTTTATACACATACACAATAAAACTATATGTGTATAAAATACACAAATGATAAATTTTATATATTCATAAATTTATACAAAGTTATCACAGAAATGATTTATAGCACTTAGAAAGTGGGTAATTGTATCCATACCAAATGTGAGCCATTTATTTCCTTTTTCCCTTAAAAAAACCAAAACCCCTACTACAAATAAAAATATTATATGACTTTCAACTCTTTCCTCGTCCACTATTTAAATTTCCTTATGTATAAGACATGTATAAAATAAGATTTCCTTATGTATAAAATCTGTATAATATAGAGACAGTGGATGCTTTCAGCTCATGAAGGATCTATAAACTAAATGGATTTTGCAAAAACACTATAGATTATAACAATTAGAACTTAAATACATATTTGAAGGATTCTTTCCTATATGATAATGCTTAAAAAACTTAATTTGCTGGCTTGTTCAGGATATCCTGAATAATTTAGAAGATTAGGAGGAAAAAATTATTTCAAACCTTCTTCTCTTACTTTTTTTTAATCATCAAATTCTGTCTTAGCAGAGAAAAACTGTATGTGAAAAAGTGCTAGGTATAAATCCATCAGTACTCTGAAAAAATTTTAGAAAAATGTGTGTTATTGTTTGTGGGTTATTGCCAGAATTATATATGGCAATACTGCCAGGGTCAATCAATTAATTTTAGTATTCAATTAAAGAAAATATTCCCACTGGAAAAATAGATATAATCTTAGCAATTTTTATAGCTAAAATTCAATGCACTTTTCAGAAGTGTTTTGTTTATAATAGTAGCATCCTCCAGGTGCAGACACACACACACACACACACACACACACACAAGCATGCACACATGTGCATACACACACAATCTGACATATATCAGTTTATAGGAATACATGTTTATTCCTTCTTACCCGAGCCTGCTGAAGAATCGCCTGTGCCTGAGCTTCCTGAGCAGAGATGGTTGGTCCTTTGGAACCATCGCCACCATAACGAAACTAAGAAAATAAAGAAGCTCAAAATTAGCCATTTTCAAATAGGTGCCTTAATTACTAGATTAAAAACTGCTTACTGAAAATGGTGTGGTTTTATAAAAGTACAAGATAACTTTATTATGAATCAAGATACCTAGATTTTTGGGTGGGTTCTCCCTCCCATATCACAAGTTCCCTAGACCATGTTTTACCATTTATAGAAAAGAGACTTCCAATTTTCATTCATTCACTCATTCATTCATTCATTCATTCATTTTAATGTTTATTTATTTTTGAGAGAGAGACACAGAGTGTGTGCAGGGGAGGGGCAGAGAAAGAGGGAGACACAGAATCTGAAGCAGGCTCCAGGCTCTGAGTTGTCAGCACAGAGCCTGATGCAGGATGGAACACACCAACAATGAGATCATGACCTGAGCCAAAGTCGATGCTTAACTGACTGAACCACCCAGGTGCCCCAAGACTTCCAATTTTATATTCCATAATCTGAAAAATCTGGAACAAGTCACCATATATTTTACCTGTACAAATGCTACCCATTTCTATTCACTCATTTGCAAAAAGTCCAAGTGTGTTCAGTTCATTGGTGTTTATAGATCAACTGTTATTTTGTTGAGCAAAACTTCTAGAATCTGTATGAACACGGAGGAAATCTTCCTTGAGATATACTCATTTGTTTACTGTTTCTCAAATAATTATAATAAGAAACTCACCCTCCCTGTATCCTTCCATAAAATTCTAAAATTCTAAAGCTTTCTTAATTTTAATTCCAAATGCAGCATGAGTCAATTTCTTACTCTACATGATTATTACTTGAAATTTTATTACATTTAAACAAATAAATCACACTTTTTCCCCCAGAGAACAAGGTCAATTTTAAAAAGCAATCTTATGGTCAAACAATTTTTGAGCAAAGAATAATGACCCTACAGATACATCTTCTTTTAAAAGTATCAACTATTGTATCTATGGTGATAAATAGCATATTAGTATTATGTTAAGTATCACATGAAATGTATGTTAATCATACGACTCAGGATAAAGCACATGACTGGAAATATGAAGAGCAACCTGTAAGCTTTGTTGTCAAAGTCTAATCAAACAGTGAAGGGTGCCTGGGTGGCTCAGTTGGTTAAGCATCTGACAGCCTCAGGTCATGATCTCACAGTTCATGAGTTCGAGTCCTGCATTGACTTAGCTGGAGCCCCACTTCTGGTGAGCTTAAGCCCTGTACTTCTCTTTCTCTTCCTCTCTATCTCTCTCTCACTCTTTCTCTGCCCCTCATGGGATTTTCTTTCTCCCTCTCTCTCTGCACCTCACTCACTTGAGCCCTCTCTCTCTCAAACAAACAAACAAAAAAGCCTAATGAAATAATGAAACCTTTGCTTTAACACAGAGATTGATGTTTACTAGAATTTTGTTTTAATAAAATTTTCTAGAATTTCTAAAGGCTGCATGATTTCAAATATCTCTACCACATACAATGGTTTTTAGTTAATTGCTCTGTAATACAGCTCAACAATGCTTTTCAGCAATAAGATGATGAAATATTAAATCATCTTTACAGCATTAAAAAAAGAAAACATACCGGTAACATTAACATGGTCCCAGGAGGACCAGGTAGACCATCAGCCCCTGGTAAGCCAGGACGTCCTGGGGGGCCCTAGGAAAGTAAATCAGCAAAATTAATAAATAAATTAAAACAAATTTATTAGAAACAGAATAACCTTTAATAACATTAGTCTACATTAACTAATTTGCATTTGTCCCTCCTTTCTTGGTTAATCTCCTTTTAGTAAGTATACCTAGAAAGGATTGTTTTTCATTTCCCTACTTTCACAGGATTTTAATCATGCACGAAGTTATTGGCTATTCAAGGATGGAGGAAAAAAAGGGAAGGGGCTTTACAAGAAGAGTTTGGACAGACTTAACACAAATGGTCTATTCCACCATGTTATCCAGGACATGCTCTTCAAATTAGAATTCAGGCTTATTGACTCAGTTTATCAGAACCCAGCTAAATACTCATCACAGTTTGTGGAAAACGGGTTTCAATTCAGATTAAATAACTGAATCTAATGTAACAGGTTTATCTCAGCATTGCAATTTATTGAAAATAAAAGTTTTCTTATTAATTATAACGTAGATAAGTGCACATTCTTTATCCTCACTTCTAAAATTATAGTTAGAAAATTTAACCAAAATGTTGCACATTGAATTCACAGACTTCCTCCTCTCTCATGAGAAAGATAACATGTTTAACTTGTGGAATACATTTTAATGATTTTCATTTAGTTATATTCTTTTGTTATAAAGAGTCCCTTTACTTACCCTCTCTCCAGGGTCACCAGGGGGTCCAGTGGGGCCTTGTAGACCTGGGGGACCCATAAGACCCTATAGAGAAACAAACCGTGATCTGAGTCAGATTCCTGATCTCATTATCATTCAGGCAAATTCATCCTACCAAAATCCAAGAAAAGCTCATTTTATATTTCATAAATATACACTGGTCTTCCAATCAATTTCCCTATTTATCTTCCTATAAAAAGACAATACATAGGAACCACTCTGTAGCTAGCTTAACTCTTCCTCTATGAAGCTGCTCTCAGGGTACAGGTAAATATTCCAAGGAAATACAGGAAAGGAGAACACACCAATACAAAGTCACTGAAGTAGAAGTTGGTTCCCAGTTCTTAATGAACAAATGGTACATTCAGACAATTAGACCTCAAAAATGTGATAATAAAGTTGAAATGTAGAAATCATTTAGCCTGAAGGCATTTTTACATTTTCTGGATAAAAAGTATTTAAAGGCATCAGTATAACATATTCATTTCAGATGACAAGAATTTAATTCCACAAAAGATAGAGATTTCTGTCAGATCAGTACAACTATCTGAGAATAAAGACACACTGAGCAACATGAGCCTTCCTAGGAAGTGACAATGGAAGCTGATAATCACTCCATTTGGAAGTACAGATAAGGCTGCTACTGTCTACTTAGAATTCTCAACTCCATCTATTGAGATATATCTTTACCTCTTTAATGGAAACAAGAATTTTTTTTCACTATCATAACTTCCAGATAGAAAGTTGAAAATGAGGTTAGAGGATGCAGAGATATTGAAGCCCCCTCCAAAAGAAATTAAACAAAATTTAATTCCACTGCTCTCAAAAGAATAACATTTGGATAGCCAAATCAGAAAGCAATTTAAGGCCATCAGGCCCTCTGAAAAAATGTTTGCCTCTATAATTCAATACTCAAATTAGTATAAAATATATAAATTCAATAATGTAATAGAAATGTTATATCTGATTATTTAAAAAATCAAGATGAAAATAATCTCAACACATTTACATACCGCAGGTCCTGCAGGCCCTGGTGGTCCTTCAATAAGCATACCCTATAATAAAACAAGATAGAGATTCATTTCTAGGGAAATGTAACCTGTAACCTCTCGTCTAAGCAGCTCTAACAAAGTGCATCATTGCATTTTAAAAAGTAAATTCTCTATTTCTACCATATAAAATCAATTGTAAACAGTTTTCTATGGGGAAGAGAGGGAATTTAAAATGATAGAAAACATAGCCCTTGTCCTCAGAGAATCTGTGAACTAATTAGAAAAGGAATAAATATTCAGAAAAGTAACACTAAAAGGAAAATATGCTAAGTTCTCCCAAGAAGGACAAAACAAAGACATTTGACCAAGTTCTCCCTGGCACCCAGAATAATGCCTGACACAAAGCCGGGATTTAATAACTATTTACTGTTTGAATGAAAGAATGGAAGTTAGGTGGCATCTAAGCACTTTCATTCAGGGAAAAGGGAAAAAAGTCCAAGCAAAAGAATCGGGCATAAACATGAGATAAACTCCTAAATAGATAAGAGAATAGAATACTATCTCAGGATAAAAAAACTCATTCCACAATGTTTATGATTGTACTTCCAGAAATTATTTTATCACTTAAAAACATGATTGTAATTTTTTGTAATAAGGGCAAATTCATTCTGAAAAATATTTGAAAATTCTTTGATGAATATATGGCATGATTTATCAGATTTTGGAGTAATACAGTAGATAGCCACTAATCTCCTTAGAGCCATATCTTTTTAACCTTTTAACTTTCCCTCTACCCAGTATTTCAATGTGTATGTCCTTGCAATTTCTGAAATGGATTTTCATGATCTTGAGGCAAACAGTTAAGCATATTTTCTTTAGTTCTAATGTAACAGTTTTCCTGAGTTGCTGATTAGGGACAACAATAGTAAAATTGCTTTCCAGTAGGATTGCCTTTTACCAATATCTTGAGTAGTGAGAACATTAATATGAATTTTAAAATCACTTTTGGAGTGAACTACACCTTTTCTTCAATGGAAGAACAGGAAGTGGACTTTAAAAAGAATATTTTCATATTTGTTACATGATGTTATCTGGATATGAAACAAGTATCTATGTCAAATAATATATTTCTGATAATGCCAAGTTAAAGAAATTGAAGGAAGTTAGAAAAGCTAATGTCTAGTTATATCTCAACCACCAACATTTGAACCTCAGCAAAGTTATTTAAACTCTCTAGGTCTCAGGTTCCTTCGTTGAGTAAAATGAGAGAATTAGACTAGACAATTTCAGTTACTTTCAAATTCCAAAATTCATGTATCTATATTTTTTGGCTGATTGAAGTGTTACTTGCTAGAAATGACCTTACTAACACTTCTTTGTGGCAAATTTTAAATATTTGGACATCAGAGTTTTTATAATATATATGCTATATATTATAAACATATATATGTAATAATTTATATACTAATTTATATAAACATATAATAATTTAAGGTGATGATGGCTCATAATATAAATTAAATCATTGTTACCAACCTTTACAATGTATTCACAACAGTACTTACAGGTTCAACTACTGCTGGTTCTCCTTTCTGTCCTTTTTCTCCATATGCACCGTGGCCATTTATCTGTTGAGTGAAAAATTCAAGCAGCCTGTCTTTAAGTAAATAAGACCACTTAAGGTTTTTTTGTTTTTTTTTTTTTAAAGAAAATTTAATCATCTAAGTGCATTTAAAAACAACCTATTAAAACGTGTTTTAAAAATAGAAACCTATTAAAAGTTTAGATACTGAAAATATAAAAAGGAAAGCATGATAAACATTAATACAAATCTTGAATGAGATTAAACAATTGTTTCTTAAAGACATATTATAGAAAGTTAAAGACATCTGTAGACCTCAATTATCATTCCAAGGCACTAAGCAGCAAGTATCATCAACCTGAATTTAACAAAATAAAGGTGGGAGGTGAGGGGTGGAAGAAATGGGTGAAGGGGGTCAAAGGTAAAAAAATAATAATAATAAATATGGTACCTCTACTGAACATCACCAGAAAATATTTTTAAACATTAAAAATTAAAATAGTCTAAAATTCAGAAATTAGACTTACTATCCCAAATAATAATGACTATTTTAATCTTATCAATGATAATACAATTTGGATACAATTCTATTCACGATTATACTTTCAAATGAAGACTCTGGTAGTGGAGGCAGAAATACAACTGCTGTAGATTCCCATGTGGAAGAATCTATCAAGGTGTCCTAGTAGTGATAAATATCCATAATTTACATAAAAACACAACTTGTATTTTAAACCTGAAAAGACATCAAGATAAATGTGAAAATACTCCAAAAATAAGACATAGAATGACACAGAGCGTAATACTGACTTACGCTTGTTTCTGTGATATCTGTTTCTGCTGGAACACCTGGACCAAATTCTTCATTAGTGGGGCTTGTTGGTTTATCTTCATATTCTTTATATTCATAAAAATCATATTCGCCTAAATCTCCATCTACCAGAAGGTCAGAGTCCCTGCCGTCTATTCCTTTGTTTTCATATAGTGTATCCTCGGAATTTTTCCTCTGGGAATCATAATCCTCTCCAGTTAGATATTCTTCAGTAAATACTTCTTCAACTGGATTTGGCTATTAATTTAAGTTGCAAAGAGTTGAAGAACATGAAGTTTACTGTTAGTAAAGCAAGGTAAGCATTTGCAATTACAGTTTGATGGAATGTGACGAGAAGCAATTTAAAAGCTACTAAAGCAAGCCTGAAGGCTGAAAAAGATAGCCTTTCAGTATCATTGAAAGCAATATTTTTGTACGTTGGTATGTACAAGGAAATATTGCTTTCAAAGTACTTTTCCCAATAAACTGCAAATATTCACATGGACTCAACATGTGTATTTGCTAGCTCCATTAAAAAAATTGTTAGTCAATTTTATATTTACTTCATGGTTTAAGATTTGAATAATGAAATATGCACAGTTAAAACTTCACTTAATTTTCAAATCTCACAGATCATCATTAGGAAATATAACTATTACCAGAAAAACCATGTAAATTTGACTCTCAATCACAAAAATAAAATATTAATGTCAATATTGAGACTTGTCATAGCAATTTTTAGAGTAGTATATAAGGAAGTATTATATCACCAAAAAGTTCTTTAAAGCAAATAAAATATAACTTATAGGCCTCGAAATTCAAGAAATGAAATAGAATATATCACTGCACAATCTCATAAAGGGTAGAGAATAAATATGCACTTACAAGGGAATTTTATATCAATAAAACTCCCTCAGAGACAGAAAAATAGACCTAGTATAATTATCTTTTTCACATAAGTAATTCTTTATTAATAGCATAAATCTGAATCATATTTATTATGCAATTTTTAGCCATATAATGATCTTGATGAGGTTCAAATGAAATAATTTATCTTGCTAATTTTTGGATTTTTTAAGTTACTTGATTTCCAAGACATAGTGAATCTAGATGACAAAATAGCATTGAATAAATAAGTAGTAGTACACAAAATCATGTGAATAAAAATGTAGCTAAATGATTAATTTAGCAACTGTTAACCAAAATAAAATATTTAGTAACCACAATATTTTTGTATTCTTAGCCAAAGAGGATAATAGAGAAGGCATGTTATCCAAAAACTGAATGTTGCTATGTTCATAGCTCTGAACTAAAAAGCTAGTTAAATTTGGTTAGATAAATAGGCATCTTGAATCAAGATATCCATTTCTGAAAAACGATAAATTTGGACCAGATGAAACTTAAAATCTGTTCTCCCCCTAAAATGTTATTTTTCTGAAGTATGTGTTTGTATGTCATGCACTACTGCGTTTATTTGCTTCACTGACACAAATGTTATATAAATCTTCTCACAGCTAAATTATTCAGGTGTTCTTCATACCCAGTATGACAGGTGTTTCACAAATTTAAACTGAATTGTACACTCATTTTCTCATGATACGAATATATCATAATATGAAAATTATGAATGTACGCACAATATGAATACATTATGAATAATATTTTAATAATATGAGTAATAATATAAATATATTATGGATAATATGAATATTATGAACGTATGGATAATATGAAATAATATATGCATAATATGAAGATTGCTACCTTTACACCTGTATGTGCTTAAACATTTTCATAGAAAAGAATGAAAAGGTTAAGACACATTATTTTAAAAGTGTGTTTAATAATAATTAACATCATTCTTCTAACAAGTATGAAAATGTACATAGCTATTAAAATCCACTAAGATTAAATTTTCTCAAGAAGTTTGCTGTCGGGGTACCTGGGTGGCTTAGTCAGGTAAGCATCCAACTCTGGATTTCAGCTCGGGTCATGATCTCACGGTTTGTGAGATCAAGCCCTGCATCTTGCTCTGTGCTGACAGTGTAGAGCCTACTTGGGATTCTCTCTCTCCCTCTCTCTCTCTCTGTCCATTCATTCCCTGTTTGTGCTCTCTCTCTCTCTCAAAATAAATAAATACACTTAAAAAAATAAATACTATTAAAAAAAGAAGTTCTCTGTCATAAAAATGCATGATTATTGGTCAGATGAAATGAATTCTAATTGTATCATTTCATGATACAATTCTCTCTTTAGAGGAGTCTCCTCCTCACAGAAAAATCATGTTGTGAATACCCTTCATCACAACATGTTGAGAAGCTTGCTCAATCCCAGGAGCAATGAAGAGAATGATAGCAGCCAATCCAGTTTAATCAATTTGTGTCTGCATGAAGCAAAGAGTCATGTAAACCTGAATGGACTAATTTAGTAACAGTGAGCCAAAGCTATTGTTTCTCTTACCTCAATAAAGGAATAAAAAGATGGAACTTCTCGCAAGTTATATTCTTCCAGAGTGAAGTATATTTAGAAATATTACACGCTTAAAAAATCTGGGCTGTGATTTAATAGTGTCAATGAGCTTACCTCATTTGTTCCAGATACATGCCTAGGAGTTTCTGTCTGGTAACTTTCCTCTGTTCCATAGTTGTATTCTTGAAAATCATCAACAATATTTGCCTAGTGGTAAATTCAAAAGAAAAACAATTCTAAGAATGTAAAGTAATACCCAATTTAGGAAAAACATGATTTAACTGGGTTATCGTATTAGCCAAATGAGGATTTATCTAGTTGGGTTAGGACAATGACTCATCATCAGAGATCTTCCAGCTTATCTAGGAGAGATCTTGATTGCTTTTTCTTTGCTACCTTTACCCCTACTTTGGCTTTTGCTGTTGCTGGATAACTTTTCTTCTTCTTGGATGCAAATTTTTCAGATTTAGGGGGTGTAAACTTTTTGGACTTTTCCTTTGAGTTAGTGGCCACTGTCCTCGTCTTCTTTTTGAAATTGGATTTCTTTTTCTGTAAAACGTGGTGAAAGATGGAATGGAAAACATAAATACAGTGAAAAGGGAAATGCAGGGCATGGATGAAAGGAAGGACAAGCAAAGCAAAATGAGCATCATTCCTTCGGGGCAGCTACTGTCAAATAAGAATCACAGTTATTGGGTCACAGAAATCAGGTGGATGAAAGGCTTACAATGAGTTTGAGGAACAGCGGACATAAGAAACCACGGAATGACAAACACTAGGACACCATATACACAGGTGCTACTTTGTTTTTACCTCAGTTTGTGCTATTGTCTCCTCAGCTACAGTGGGTGTCTCTGTTACAAATTCAGCCTCTTTATACTCTGCTTCCCCATACTCATAGTCATATTCCAGAATATCCTCAGGTGCATACTACCTCACAAAGGAAAAAATATCAGGCGATTTTGTTAGTTGCAGGTAATACTAATAACAAAGTGGTAATCATCTTAACTTTTACGTAGGGTAAAGGTTAAGAGGCAAGTATTTAAATGTTATTTTATATTACAAGAAGTATTATACTGTCAGTGTACAGAGTATAATAACATAAGAGAAACAAAGCCGATTTTCTAAGCGGAACAGTGGTTAGGATTGTGAGGAAACTAAAAATTGTGAATATTAATCCAAACTTAATTAATATTCAAAATTTGTAGCCAATGACTTATTTTGAACACAGCAGTTATATACTTGGTCACAGTTGTTAAATGTTCTTGTTTATTTTTATTTGTAAAAATTGATACACAAGGCTCCTCTAAAAGACTTTTAGTGTATTTCCAATGGGTACTTTTTTTTTTCATTACACTACATGCTTAAAATATTAAATATGGAGAATAGTCTTTCCAAGTATGAAAGGATATTTAAATTGGAAGTCAGAGAGTGGAGAGGAGGAAAAGGAAATGCAAGGAACATAAGGTAAGTCTAAACCGAACACTAAAATAATGAAAAATAAAATCTAAAATTTGTTCAGAAATCTCTAATTTGCCATAGACTTAAGATCAAAATGAACACAGAATACTAGCAACACATTAAAAGATTCACAGTAAGATCTGTTTCTAACTAACATATTATTCACTTTTTAAAAATCCTGCTTTTTTTTCCCTCTATCAAAAAAGCATAGCACTCAGACATTGTAAACTACTTAAACTAAACTCAAATTGGAAAATGATATTTTACACTAGATTCCTCTGTATTAAAGCAATTTAGTTGGAGAGAGAGGTATGTTTCTTAATAGAGGGATGTACAAGACAGTCATATATACTAAATAAGGAAAATAATGTGTTCACCTTCACAGCCAAATGTCTCTATCAAAACTTTAATTTATAAACAAGAATATAGTTATTATGAAACATATATTAATCATTGGCTTTAAGCAAAATAACTGTAAATACACTAAGTAATACATACAAAAACATTAAGCAGTAAACTCAACAAGCTGTGTTCCTAATATATACAAGCTAAAGGCAACCTATTTGGGTTTCCCTTAGTATTATATTTGATAAAATTCCAATTATATCCCAACTGGAATCTTGGCATTTCAAAATTGCCAGAAAATCCTTTTTAATCTGCCAGAAAAGTAACTGTTAACCATATGTCTTTTAGAAAGTTGTGATCACTGTGCCTTCTAATTAGCTCTATTAACTATCGCAATGCAAATGAGTGCAAATTTCACAGACATATAATGAGACATGTCCAAAACTGATCTCCTGGCATCATTATACATCTGGCCCTAGATGAGCCTCACTAGAGTAAACTTTTCAAATGGTTCAGCTGAAGGTCATACTGAAATTTGAACAGACATGTCTTTAGTGTTCTCTATGACTGTAACCACTCTAATTTGATTAGATGAACTGAAACGGATTCATAATTTTATCTATTCAGTGATAGCTTCATTATCAATGAACATCCATTTGAAGAACTTCAACAAGAGCTTTATTCTAACTGAATTTGTACAGAATTTGGTAAATAGAAAAATGCACATATATAACACTGAGCATTTGTTTCTTAATTGCCTCTGCAATCAAGATAAAGGCCAATTACTTCTAGGAAAGTTAATGTAAACATTATTAACATCATTAAGTAAATAAAATAATTAAATACTGGATTTAGATACATATTAAAAAGACATAAATGGTGACTGAATATTGTATAGTGAATAACTTTTCTGTGGTTATGATCACTCATGTTGAAATAAGAAATAAGAAATTTATACAACCACTAGCTGCCAGCTGGAAGTAAAACACCAAAAACAAAAGATTTGATAGTCTATTTTATGCCGTAGAGTTTTAAAATTAAGCAGACTTTTCAAAATTGTGTGCATCTATAATTAATTTTAAAAACATAAGACAATAAACAAAGACATAAAGGGCTGAATTTTAAAGTCCATGGTTTAATGGATCTCAAATGAAGCATGGTATTCAAAAATATACTAATGTACATTAACTTCATGTCGTTGTTCTTTTTCTTGTAGGAGGAAACATCTTCTAACCCCCATAAGCCTCTCCTCTTTTTAAACTCTTTCCAAATGAAGATTAACCAGACTAGTTGTGACTCTGGAAGAATGGAGGAAATAATATTCTCACCTCCTTAGGCACTAAAGCATATCTTTTTCTTAGAGTCTTTCAGGAGTCATTGTAAAGAATCACTCCAGTTCTTATTTCTTTTTCTAAACAGCATCTCCTTAGTCATAGTATTGAGTGTATTTAGCACTTTGCTAGTATACATGAAGCTTTATAACCTATGTTTGGAGATGGCCGCCTTTCCTTACCATGGAATTTTAAAAATCTTGAAAACAGAGAGAACTAGTTGTAATAAATTAGATGAATACATGCAAAAAGACATGCATTGATGGAATGATTTTGATTTCAGCTTGGATATGTTAGTAGCCTAGCATAAATTGTAGTGAGAAGGAAGTCTTCTAGAAATGTCATAATCTGTTCTTATTTGACTTGTTAGAAAAATAGTGGCATCACTAAATATCTATGAGAACTAGAATATATGATAAATATTAAGTGCAAAAAATATTAGGGTAATATATTTGGGGAAGTACACTGGTTTTTAAATTTGTCTATAAAATACTCTCTTTCCTTTGCTTTATTTTCCTTCTTCATCCTTTTAAAAAAAGAATGTCAATTGCCTACTATGTATAAGTTACTATAGTTTGCATAATAAATTAATAACCATATATAGATTTCACATTTAATTTCTTGTAAAGATAATAGGATACTCTTACTTGAGAAAATCCCCAAACATCATAATTTTAATATCAGTTACTTTTCTACGTAAATGGTATTGTGTACGTTCAAATAGAATTAAAGTTTGATGATATTTTGGCTCTATTTAAATCTATCTCTGTTATGCATTTCACTCTATGATGATGATGTGCCAAACACATACACAATTGAATCCTAAGAATGATTTAGAAGATGTTATTAAGAGGGTATGAGGTAAACACAATTACAAGTTGGAAAAAGCACGAGTTAATTTATAAAATAAACTGACATACCTATTAATCCAAATAGATTATTGAATATGCATTGTTACAAATTTGTTAATGGAAAATTAAGCAATATAAAGTGCAACATGAATGGTTGATGCTCTGTATTGCACTTTATTTTCTTTGTTCACTGGTAAATAGCATTGCTTACTATGCTGTACTGGAATAACATCTGTAGACCAATTATTAAAATGCATATTTGAAACATAGTGACATATTAATGGCTATAGTTCAAAATTATTATTATAAGAACTGGTTACTAATTTGGTTAACTAGTTTATTTAATAAGTGTATAACATAGGATGGTTATCTTACTATTGAAGTATCAATGTAATTTAGAATTGGAAAAAAATGTGACAGCTGATTCTTCAAAAAAACTTTTACTGTAACACACTCAATATAGAAAGCGGTAAGAAATGCTATATATTTTTGCATCACCCAACCAGATTTTCATGCAGTTTTTTGTTATAGCAATACATTGTTTTTCCCTACACGCTCTTCTAGTAAAAACAAGTTGAACTTCTTAACGAATGTTAAATATATGTTATCAATAACTCAAAGTAGAAAAGAGCAAATTCACTTTTAAATGAACTTAAGAAAAAAATGGATAAGAATTATTTTGCTTTAAAATAACTGTTTAACTGGCATGATAGCATTAACATATAGTAATAAAACACCTCAAGGTGATATATTAAGAAAGCATACCTTCATTCTTCTAAAAATCAGAGCCATGTCTGTTGCTAAAAGGAACAAACTTATCTTTCTTAAAATAGGAGCAAAATAAATCTCATCAATATCGAACAGGTACAACATGTATAAATGTTTTAAATTTCAATACTGATTTAACACATAATCTCTAAGATATAAAAGCACTAAACCTGATGGTATTTAACCTATCCTTTTGGAATTCACAAAAAAAAAATTATTTAAATAAATCATGAAGGAATAAGAAGAATGAACCACTGGTGAACTGTGAAACAAGCAAACAACTACCCAAGTAATTTCTCTTTTCTCTCTCATATTTGTTTTCTGTCAGCTTCTTAAGCCTTTATCCTGTTTTAAGAAAAACATCCATATTAAGTCATGGAAAAGATCATTGCAACAGAATTTACTGTCATACTTCAAAAAGAAAAGTGATGTCAAAAAAGATATTTCAAGCATTTAAGTGGTAAAATCCCAATTGAATTTACATACAAACATACCAATAAATTAAAAGATAAGATCCTAACCTCTTTTAAAAGAGTAAAACTCAAAAGGTGGCACCAATTAGTATATTTAGAAAGAAGAATGCCATTTGAGCTATTTTCAAACATAAAGACAGCCTTGATGTTTTCAAACTTCCAACCCCCACTTCTAAAATGTAACACTCCCCACCTTGAGAAAAAAGAATCTAAGTTGTTTTGCTGCCAGCTAAAGAGTAACTTCCTTCCAGCTTGCTTGTTTTTTTAATTTCCAGAAGACCCACACCAAAGGATTTTACCAAAAAATCTAGATAAGGATGTGTTGTACTATATTTTTGTTTTTTGGGGGTATTCGATTTTGATAAAATTGCTATGGCTATTTTTTTTTTTTTTTTTTTTTTTTGGCCTGGAAGAGAATAGGGTCAAATTTCATTACAGTAAATTTTCTTGCAAAAATAGCCTGGAAAAAAAGGTTTCACACCTGAATTTCAAATACAGTGACATAATATGAATGAAAGTATATGAATATTTTTAGCTACAATTAGATCCTACTGCTTTTCATTTCATTGTTCTTTATGTCAAATTCTGTAGAAGAAAAAGAAAACGTACATATCAATGTAGCCTAGCCCTATAAGAAATAGGAAAAAAAAATCTCTCTAAGTATTCAACAGAGCCTGAAACTTTAAGATAGCTCTAATGTCACTTCCTCATCTGTGCGAATTGCCAAAGGCAAGTACACCAGAAGAATTGTCACCCTTATCTTGAGGCTGTGTGTTAATTATTTAAATGCCAAGGGCAGAAATATAGCTTTTAGAGAACTACCTTTTTCTCACCTCTCCCAAAATGAAATATGCTCATATATATAGCATTTAAGTAAGGAATCTCTATTTTTAAGAAGTTTAAGAAACAGAGTACTTAAGAGGAAAAAAATACCAAAAATCTTCCTTAAGTCACTTCTTCCTAGAACTATTAAAACACTATTAAATAGAAAGTATAGGTTTAATTAAAACTGAATAGTAACGATAAGCCTCAAAACTGCAAGACTATGTCTGTACCGCTGAAAGGAGAAAATGAGCCCTGATCTCATGGTCCTCACCTCATCAACCTGAGGTTCCTGAGCCTGAGCGGCCTGGGGTACTGAAGAGTCACAGTCTGGACTGTAATGCTCACAGTAGTCATATGCTGCTTTAGGGTCACCTATGATCAACAGCTGCTGGATGTCCCCCTGTCAAGAAACAAACATGAATGTAATCAGTATATATAGATACACATATATTTAGAGCAAGATTTATTCAAGACAACATGCAGTTTATTTTTATTGTTTTATTGTTTTGTGTGTGTTTATTTTTATTTATTTTTTAATTTTTTTTAATTTTTTAATGTTTATTTATTTTTGAGACAGAGAGAGACAGAGCATGAGCAGGGGAGGGGCAGAGAGAGAGGGAGGCCCAGAATCTGAATCAGGCTCCAGGCCCTGAGCTGTCAGCACAGAGTCCGACCCAGGACTCAGACTCGTGAACCACAAGATCATGACCTGAGCTGAAGTCGGCTGCTTAACTGACTGAGCCACCCAGGCGCCCCGTGTGTTTATTTTTAATTACCTGAAGAACTAACACTTACATTTCAATGTTAGAAATAGCCTTATAGAACAAATGAACAAAGGAAAAATAGAGAGCAAGCAAGAGAGAGAGAGACAGACTCTTAACTCTAGAGAACAAACTGATGGTTGCCAAAAGGGAGATGGGTAGGGACATGGGTGAAATAAGTGATGGGGATTAAAGAAGGACACTTGTGATGAGCACCAGGTGTTGTATGTATGTTGAATCACTATATTGTATGCCTGGAACTTATATTACACTGCATGTTTACTATACTGGGATTAAAATTAAAAATTTAATAAAAACTAGTCTCACAGATTTGAGAGAAAAATTCACACCTCTTTTACAAATTAGCTGTTAATATTAAGGTTTTATTCTATTATTTTGTAGTTCATAGAATCTATACTATATGCATCCATTCGGTAAAACAATTTTACTACATTCACAGTACATTCTTTATAAAATAAGACAAATAAAATGTAAATATTAAGCTGATAAAAAAGTAAATAAAATTTAACAACTGTAAATATATAAAGAGGATGATTATATTTTCTTTTTTAAAACTTTTTAATGTTTATTTATTTAAAAAAATTTTTAATGCTTATTTATTTCTGACAGAGAGAGACAGAGCATGAGTGGAGGAGGGGGAAGAGAGAGAAGGGGACACAGAATCTGAGGCAGGCTCCAGGCTCGGAGCTCTCAGCACAGAGCCCGACGCGGGGCTCGAACTCGCAGACTGTGAAATCATGACCTGAGCTGAAGCCGGATGCTCAACCGACTGAGCCACCCAGGTGCCCCAATGTTTATTTAATTTTTGAGAGAGACAGAGTGTGATCAGGGGAGGGGCAGAGAGAGAGGGAGACACAAAATCTGAGACAGGCTCCGGCTCTTGAGCTGTCATGACAACACAGAGCCTGATGCTGGGCTCGAACTCACGGACCAAGATATCATGCCTTAGCTGAAGTTGGATGCTTAACCAACTGAGCCACCCAAGTGCCTTGAGGGTAATATATTTTCAATATTAACTAAAGAGTTCAATCAAAGTAAACTGAATTACAGATGGCCAACAGGCACATGAAAAGATGATCAAAGTCACTCCTTATCAGGGAAATACAAATCAAAACTACACTCAGAAACCACCTCACGCCAGTCAGAATAGCTAAAATGAACAAATCAGGAGACTATAGATGCTGGAGAGGATGTGGAGAAACAGGAACCCTCTTGCACTGTTGGTGGGAATGCAAATTGGTGCAGCCACTCTGGAAAACAGTGTGGAGGTTCCTCTGAAAATTAAAAATAGATCTACCCTATGACCCAGCAATAGCACTGCTAGGAATTTACCCAAGGGATACAGGAGTGCTGATGCATAGGGACGTTTGTACCCCGATGTTTACAGCAGCACTTTCAACAATAGCCAAATTATGGAAAGAGCCTAAATGTCCATCAACTGATGAATGGATAAAGAAATTGTGGTTTATATACACAATGGAATACTACGTGGCAATGAGAAAGAATGAAATATGGATGGCCTTTTGTAGCAATGTGGATGGAACTGGAGAGTGTTATGCTAAGTGAAATAAGTCATACAGAGAAAGACAGATAACCATATGTTTTCACTCTTATGTGGATCCTGAGAAACTTAACAGAAGACCATGAGGGAGGGGAAGGAATAAAAAAAAAGAGGTTA